CTACCTATAGGCCATGTCAATGAGTTGACCTACCTATAGGCCATGTCAGTGAGTTGTCTTACCTATAGGCCATGTCAATGAGTTGACCTACCTATAGGCCATGTCAGTGAGTTGACCTACCTATAGGCCATGTCAGTGAGTTGACCTACCTATAGGCCATGTCAGTGAGTTGACCTACCTATAGGCCATGTCAGTGAGTTGACCTACCTATAGGCCATGTCAATGAGTTGACCTACCTATAGGCCACGTCAATGAGTTGACCTACCTATAGGCCACGTCAATGAGTTGACCTACCTATAGGCCACGTCAATGAGTTGACCTACCTATAGGCCACGTCAATGAGTTGACCTACCTATAGGCCATGTTAATGAGTTGATCTACCTGTAGACAGTAGAATATTATCAGTTGAGTTGCCCTACCTATAGGCCATGTCAGTGAGTTGACCTACCTATAGGCCATGTCAATGAGTTGACCTACCTATAGGCCATGTTAGTGAGTTGACGCCATCCACTGTATAATGACTCAGATGAATTATGTTTTCTTTGGCTTTATTTATCTCCTGTCTTGTCAAATTCAACTCCAATTGGCAGAAATATCTATTAAAAGTTAACAAGTAAAATTAAAACTCTTTTAAATCTAAAAATTCATATCTAAAAATATTTTACAATATTTTTATCAGAAGAAAATTCAAATAAATTACAAACATAAATCAGCTAGCTTCATAGGTAATTTCAATGAAAAGGTCTCAAAAATTGAAAATAAGACATGTATAAAAATGTGCAATCTTTGAGTGATTACTACCAGTAGTCCGGTACCTGTGCACTTTGAAATGGGAGAGATCATCTGGCATGGGATAAATGGAGAAAGAGGAATTGAAGCGCCAATCTTCTCTCAATTTTGTGATGTCATCATCATAATCAAAGTCATCCACTTTATAAAATCTATACTCTTTATCCTGGAAAAAATAACTTACATATAAACATTTGTGATATTTATTCCTTAAATAATATAAAGCCTATAATCATTATATTAATATTAAAAAGATTATTTGTTTTAATTGGTTTAAATGCTGACTGATCAATTGATATTTCCTGTAACAGATTATTTCTGAATAAGTTTTTTCTCAGGGAAATTAAAACAGATTGCAATATTATTGTTTTCATTAAAGTTAAGTTTTTATCATTTTGTTGGAGAACATCAAACATTTATTTTTTTTTTAAATGGCCTTTCACACAAACCATGTCAAAAGATTTCAAGTTTCTGATTCATATATCCATTAGTGAATTATCCATTTCTATGAACAAATATATTTTAAACTAAATATCAACAAAATTATGTAATTAAAAATGTATTCATAATCGGGATGGCTATCATTTTTAGTATATTATTTATATCGGATAATTATAATTATGGTTAACAACTACATATCGAGGGCGATTAGATTTTATATTTAGACTTGTCACGTGATGCGGTAGTCACATGATTTTAGCACATTTACTTGCAGTATTGATGATACCTATAAATTTTAGAAGTGCAAGGGCATAACCAAGTTAAAATTTCAAGTTTAGTTTATAAATATTTTTAGACCCATCTTCACCATGAAAAGTGGCAGATCCCATCTAAATTCTCGCTTAATTTATTGTTAAAATTATATTTTCTGACAGAATCTGTATTTTGTGATTATAAACATGTAATATTGATAGCTGTAAATAATTTTTAAATGTCATCAGGAACACACTTTTCAGATACCTTAATAGTTCTAGAGCTGAATTGTAAAAGCTAACTGTGATCCATACAGTGTATGCCCTTGCACTAGATCAATTTATTAAGTCCCCACATTACCCTCCCATGTACGACAGTGTAAATTACATACCTAATATACAGAAAATATATTAATAAAATTGTGAAGAAGACACTGATTTCAAGTTAATGGCTTATATAATATCTGTAAATAATATTTTTTTTAATTATAGAATACATATTTCGTTGAGAAAATATTACTTGATCTGCCTCTCACTGCATACAAACTACATCATGTTTTACAAAATGTCACATTGACAGGTGTATTGCGATCAGTGAATTGTTTATAATATGTTATGTGGGATATAACTAATGACAAAATGAAAACAGCATGCTGTAGTAAGTTTGGATGTAGTTTGAGTATCTATTACAGGTTAAATTGGCAAATCACCTCATTTTGTGGTATTTTAAAGAATTGTTGTATGACGTATATTTTGTATGATGTCATAGTTAAGTTTTCCCGTACAAATTAGGCTCTGCTCCCTTTTTGTAACCTTAACTGTGCTGCATAAGATCGGTTTTCACACAAACCATGTCAAAAGATTTCAGATTTCTAGTTTATGTATTACTTTTCTTCATAGATAGTGATCTTTACAATACAAAAACAATGATTTAATTTCACCCCTCCATGTTGAGTACAGGACGTCTTTGTGGAATGGTAAACACAATGATTCAACACTCGGCTGGGATTGGAATCTGGGGCGCTGACGAGACACCAGTCTAAATTACCAAGGACCTTCTGTAGGACTGACTACAAAAAGAAAAAAATCGGATTCATTAAATAAATTCTCTGTCAGACATGTTGGAGCTGATAATTGCAGCTATTACAAGCAGATCGATGGACACATATGTCTAGTTAAGTTAATTTTTAGTGTGAATTTCATAAACTGTTATTATTACTTGTGAAATAATGATTCCTCCTTCCAAGGAGCACATAGCAGACCCATCTTCACCATGAAAATCGGCAGCACCCATGAATATGTCCTCGCTTACACTTATATGACTAACAAGTTCAACAATTTTCTCCGCTCTAATATAGGTTCTGTCAGTTATAAACATGTAATAGTCATAGCTGTGAGAATAATGTTCTGAAATGTACTTCAACACATGCAATGGTAAATAGTGCTTGTTTTTATCTGTAAAACTGACAACGGGCATTCCAGCAGGGATATTCCCCGACTTGGAAGTGCTGAAATACATTTGTTTAGTTACGTAATGCGCTGTAGTTTTATTAACAGCCAGCGCAAATGAGTTCACTGTATCTTGACTCGTAAGTACTGCTACAAACAGTTTCTCACGAATTCCCAGTTCCGTGGCCACAAATCTTGGTCGAACTGGCTTTTTATGTGGATTGTTCTCAAGCTTAGGGGGTGGGGGTACATCATAATTCTTAGGTTTGATGGCTGGTTTTATGGTTTTGCTGGTTTTCTCCGATTCACGAAGTGACTTGGTCTCCCTAAGCTTGATGAGCTGTTTTCGGTCAATGTTCGAGGGGTCACAGGTTTCGTCAAGGAGGGGGGCTATCATCACATTCAATGTAAACCCGAGACATATTCCAATCAACACAGGTATACAAGAACGAAATCCAGCGTGTATCATCTTATTCTCCGAATTCGTTAAAGTGCTAAAGAGACAGGCTTCCTATCTCCCCACATCAATGTGACAGCAAAATTTCTTTTCATCAAAATAAAATACCAGCATCCACAAAAATATTTTCCCACGGTGAGATCAAGTATTTTATTTTACGAAACGATATTTTAAAGTAAATTAGAAAATGTAGCTTTTATGATCTTTTTCAAAATATCACTTCTTTTGATAAAAATCTAATTTATTTTGCTTAAATTTTTCATATTTTAAAGAAAAAAAGTTCGATAAAACCAATGTTTTTATATTCGTTTTTAGTAAATCCGAAGGTAAATTCTGAAAAATCTCCATCATCAAAACTCTTCATAAGACGGAAAAGGAAATAAAGCATATTATGAACCAAGATTAGAATTAAGCAGCAAGACGAAAGAATGGCAGCCGATCAGGTAAACTGTTTTGTCACTTTAAATCGCCGAGAATTGAACAACTGAATAAAAAAGATTGAATTTGTTTTATTTAAATCGTATTTATTTTCAGTTTTTAACGCATATCTATGTTTGATAAGCTTTCTTCGAGGATGTACGTATTAAATCCAGAAACAAAGGAACGCGTTGTCATCCTGTTTATCAAATAGTATTAGGAACTCGAATTTTCTCTGTGTTTTGTAAATTTTTACTAAATAACACTAAACAGGGTTCTACATGATAAACCTGTATGGTACGGGTAATAAACATGTGAAAGGGTGCCTGACAGATCCTTAATTTACTTCATGTTTGACAAAATATTCCATGGATAAATATACACTATCTCAACAAATTGAGATCAAGCTTCCATTTGGGATGTAAAGTCCCTGAAACATATTATTTTCCCATTTTTCATTGTCTAACAGTTCGTTCAGTGTCTGCTCACTTTCATTAAAGCATGCACTCACTATTGTGTTCATTTTATAGGGTGAGCCCACTGATTGTTCAGCATGTGCTCACTATGTGCTGAATGTTTACAGTTTTGCCTTCAGCATTTTACCAACCACTCTTTTTCATCATTAACAATATTTGCTCACTGTTATCTTTGCATTTTCATGTCAGAGTACTATAGCTAACTGCGGGGTAGATCCAAAAGTGAAAAAAATATATATATTCAAGTGGTATTTCATGAAATATAAGTTTTACGATATATAAAAGATATCGATATATGAAGATATCTGTGAGGACGATACGCATATCAATACATATGAAGAAATATCAAAATATCGCCCTAAAAAATCTGACTTCTGTTTTTTTTTGTTTATTCAACATTTGGGGTTTAATATACAAAATAAAGAAGCTAGCTATAAGAAATAAATAATAATTAACACCACTTGAGTAAAATATATTTGTTTTACAACATATGAACAACTATTTTGAATAAATTACTCTTATTTAAGGAATAACTGTCTTATTTTTCGAATTCATGAAGTGATCAATGGATTGGCTTGTATGATAATTTGCATAAACGCCGAAGGCATTTATGCATAAAATTATCACACAAGCCAATCCATTGATCATCTTCATGAATTCGAAAAATCTGACAGTTATTCCTTATATTTACATGCTTTGATTCCGCCAATCCATGGGCTCCAAGCCTGCTTCACTCTAGGTGTTGTCCCGCCCTGCACATGGCTTTTTTTGGAACCACGCCAAAACATTCATGAGGAAATCAATTACATTTACAATTGGTAATTTTATCTCGGACAAAGACATTGGAAATGTAAATATTTGCAAAGAAATAATTTGTTTATTTCAATGCAAAAAAAGATTTTATAAGGCCTAAAAAAAAAATTATGTTTGTTTCCTGTAACCCGACTGACCCATTCAAATTATCCCCGGGTGGATTTTTTCTCCTGACAAATGGCAAAACTGCGTTTGATCAATCAGCTGATCTCATTTATTAAAAAAATAAATTCGCTTGTAGCTTAACTTGAGACATAAAATATGTCAACCTGTATAGTTTACATTTAACTTAAATATAAGTGGTAATCATTATTGTAACAACAATTTCCCCCTACAGCTTTCTGAAGTTCGTTTTCTGCCATGTTGGGTGTCCACTGTAAATATGACATGACACCTGGTATATTCAGTCTGAGGATGTTTGACCATTCATAAGCAAAAAAAAAAAAAAAAAAATAATTCCCAACCTACCACTGCCTACCGACCCTTAATTTTTGGGAATATTACAGGAAACAAACTTATTTTTTTTTTAAGCCTAAGCAATTAAACATATCGTGATATCATACATATCGTATCGTGACTCAAATATCGTGATATGTATCGATATAGAAGAAGTTGTATTGTCCCAGCCCTACTGCGGGTCAAGAGGTAACTGGGAAAAGTACCTTTCATTTAATCAATGTGTGCAGTAGTTCGAATTGTCTCTTATCCCAGGCATACTGAGGGATTGTTGTAAGAGCTCGCAGTTCAAGCTGGGCTTAGCCCCATTTTTTTTCTTTTTCAAGCTTGTGTAAGGCCAAAAATAAAAGTAGTCTTGTTTCCAGCTACCCGACCTACCCTATTTCTTAGCACCCAACCCTAAAGTTTTTTTATTTAGTTTTTGGAGGAAAATCGGAAAGTTCATGATACAAAAGTGAAAAAAAATATATATATATTCAAGTGGTATTTCATGAAATATAAGTTTTAAATATGGACTTTCATAAAACACTACTTATTTCGAATGATAAATAATATTGACCTTTGACATGTTTAATTTGGTTTTGTAATAGTTCATATCCAATAAAATACCACTGGAAAAAAATGAAATAATTTTCCTACCTACCTACCCTATTTTTTTCAGGCTGGTAGCAGGAAACAAGACTATTATTTTTTTTGGTCTAAATTAATTGAGAAATGAAAAATTCTCAATTTGTTTGAATGATAAAAAAATCAAGAGCTAAAGACTTGGGCATTTTTTTCTTTCAGAAAATGGAGGTAGATGGCACCACAGCAGTAAACCATGAAGGAATTAAACAGTACTATGTCAGTAAAATAGAGGAACTGCAGGTAATCTATTAAACAACAAAGGTATTATGCAAGTGAGATTAGGCTAGGTATAGGTGTTTCTATGTAACTAAGCTTTAAAAATGCAAATGTTGTATATATGCATATTTTTATACAGAGAAGGTTCAAATATATTTTCTGATTCATACTTAGTACCTACAGCATGTTAACATGGTTAATGCTAGTAAACACATTTTGATCTCATATTAAGATGTTGTTCTTTTCCATTCAAAGTAATAAAACACACAAACAAAACAACATCACCACAAGTATACGTAACATATTCAATACTACTTAAATTGATCGTGTTGATAGAATTTACCACAGCAATTATGAATTTAATTTTTTTTTCCAGCTTATTGTCACTGACAAGACACAGAACTTAAGACGTTTAGAAGCTCAAAGGAATGAACTAAATGCCAAGGGTAAAGTATATTAAATGTTTGTGAACAAAATATTGCAATTATATACCATTCATTACTTTCACAAAGTATTGTTCATTGTTTCCTGTACAGTTATATTTACTGTGCATTCACTCTCAGAAAAGTTTTAGCTCTGATATTTTATCATGATAGTTCATGCAGTGTTAGCTCTCCATTGGTTTGGGATAGTGAAATACTACTTATGCATATATATTTTGTAATACTCAATGTACAACTGTACTGTAAACCAACTTTTATACACAAGGACTTTATTTCATGATTTACCAGGGGTAAACTAATCTGTGAACATTATTTTTCGCGATCAAGCCTTTTTAGATATGTTGTTAAAAGACACTGACAGAGACAGTAAGGACCGAAAATTTCTCGCACACGAATTAAAGTTAGTTTACAGTAAGCTATATCTTTTTGGGTAATGTCTCTTTCTAAGAATCTCTTATCTTTTTCTTAGTGAGGATGTTAAGAGAAGAACTTCAGCTCCTACAAGAACAAGGCTCTTATGTGGGGGAGGTTGTCAAACCCATGGACAAAAAGAAAGTGCTAGTCAAGGTACCAACAGTAAACAAACATAATTACATGTATATATACATTCCACATTCAATTTTGCTTTTAAACATTCAACACAATATTAACACAGATGGGGGAGGTTAAAAGGTAAAGGTATGATTTTGATCTTCTTGTCACAAAGTTAAAATCGGTATAACTTTTAAATTAGAGGATAAGGCAATTATATTAACTTTCCAAATATATTACTTCTTTTACCTTGACGTCGTGACTTTCAACTTAAAGTTTAACTACAGTGCCTTTCAAAATTATTAAGTAAGAGGGATTGGAAGAAAATATAATCTTGATTCATCATATATATATATATATACAAGAAATTATTGAATCCTGTTTAAGTGTGATGTCATAAGCAAAAATCAAAATTCATTGTTTTCGTTGAAGAGTTAAATGATAATAGCTGTGGGAATTGTAATTGTGATTTTTTTTAACCTCTTTACAGGTAAAGCTAATTGACATGGTACAATTTTTTTCAGGTACATCCAGAAGGGAAATTTGTGGTGGACGTAGACAAAAATATAGACATAAACGATGTGACTCCAAATTGCCGAGTAGCTCTTAGGAATGACAGTTACACACTACACAAAATTCTGCCAAACAAGGTAAATGACAAATGATCTGGGAATTTACTTATGGAATTTACTCAGGAGGTGTTGGTAGTATGTTTATTTCTTTTAATTTAAGGTAAATTAATAAAAAAAGAAAGTATAAAGAATCATTTATTGTCACTTTCCAGCAAGACTGGCATCTTAAATGCATTGCTATAATTTACTAACTTCATTCAGGAAATAATGATTAGTTCAAATCTTCTTTAGTTTTCACACAAATTTTATGTAGCACTTTAAAAAAGAAATTAAGAATAATCATTTTATTGTTATATATATGTAGGTCAGATATTATAGATATATTTCAAATATTTAGAAGCTTTGGATATGTTTGTGAGTAGTGTATAGGTGTGAACATTTCCTTGTATTTCTTTGTATTTTATTTGACGTATGTCAGATATATATCAAATATTTACATTTATTTAGAAGTTTCAGCTATTTATGCCTCTTTTAATTAAACACAGGTGGACCCTCTAGTGAGTTTGATGATGGTAGAAAAGGTTCCTGATTCCACGTACGAAATGGTGGGAGGTCTGGACAAGCAGATCAAAGAAATAAAGGAAGTGATAGAACTGCCAGTAAAACACCCCGAGTTATTTGAAGCTCTGGGCATTGCCCAGCCTAAGGTAGGGTTAATAAATGTTGATGGAGAGTTGCTTTTATTAATTTTTTGAAAAATTACAAAATAAGATATTAAACTGTTTATATGTTACAGAGGAAAAAATTAAATTCAAACATACTGTTTTCCATTGTGTCTTAACTCCACAAAATCACAATATCTTTTCAAGGCAAGGCTAAAAATAATATGCAGATTTCTTAGTTTGCAATTGTATGCTTTAAAAGCTTTTTACATACACAGGTATAAATTTTCTTGGGAAATGTGTAACTGCATATATACATGTAGTGTACAATTGATTCTTTTTGGAATATTGTACTCCTTAGTCTGTATATGTTAAAAACTGTTGTATTTTGATTATTTCTCTTTTTAATTTATTTTAATTTAAAATCAATTAATTAAGATCAAAAACATTTAGAGGTTTTTTTTTATTCATCACTGTGTATATATTATTTGATCTTAATGCAGTATGAATAACCTCCTTGTGCTATTGCAAATTCGGAGCAACAACCTATATACTCTACGGAAAACTCTTTATACAATCTATACACTCTGTTTCAATTAAAGGGTGTATTGCTTTATGGCCCCCCTGGTACAGGGAAGACACTGTTAGCCAGAGCTGTAGCTCACCACACAGAGTGTACGTTTATCCGAGTCTCCGGATCCGAGCTGGTCCAGAAATTCATCGGTGAGGGATCTAGGATGGTGCGCGAACTCTTCGTCATGGCAAGGTAACCAAAAACTTAACTCTGTTTAGGTTTCTTACAAAAAAAAAATGAAAAGGTATGTTTATTTTTTAGTATGCTGCTTCCTTGTTGTCACAGAATATATTCCTAACGTTCATTGAATTTTTTTAGGGAGCATGCACCTTCTATTATTTTCATGGATGAAATTGATTCTATAGGATCTTCAAGATTAGAAGGAGGCTCAGGAGGTATGGTTTATATTTAGCATAAAGTCAGGTATTTCAAACATTCATCATCAACATACACTAATAAGCAAAATGACAAAGGCCATAAAAAATTAATTTGTTGGTTCTCAGTCTCTCCCTCATCTCTTCCAAGGGTGCCTCATTGACCCTTTTATTGCTAAATCAATAAAATAAAAACAATAAATCTCCTCCCTAATCATTTTTTGAGGTTTTATACAATGTAAAAAGCTGCCTCATCATGTTTTTGGGGCAATAAAAAAGTTTTTAAAAAATGCCTCCCTCCCTCATTATATTTCTTGAAAAAAGGCCTGGGAACCAAGGAATTAACTTTGCAAGGCCAAATCAAGTTTCTTTTGTGTAAGAAAAGATATATGTATTGTAGAAAATATTTTATTATAAACACTTCCTTATCTTGGTGGAGAAGTGATTATTGTTTATACATGCCCTTGTTTTGAAAGTTTATTGCAAATATTTAAAAATTTTCAATAGGTGACTCTGAAGTGCAAAGAACAATGTTAGAATTGTTGAACCAGTTGGATGGATTTGAGCCAAAACAAAACATAAAGGTATTTGGAAGCTTTTGAGAATTTAGCATTTCCTTCTGAAGAGTATTTCATGCAGTATAGCAGTTATTCCATTTTCTTCATTAGTGTAGATCACAGAGATGGCCATTTAATATTTCAATATGCAAGACATAATTTTCCTAAATTTTGATTATTTTTCTTTTATTATAATATTTAGTAATATAAATATATGCAAGAATCAACTTAATTCCAGCAGGCAGTTTAATGTTACCAAATGAAAATCAGTAGTTCTTGATACACATTATCAGTTTCCTATAAATTTCAGGTGATTATGGCAACAAACAGAATTGATATCCTTGACTCAGCCTTACTACGACCAGGCAGAATAGACAGAAAAATTGAGTTCCCTCCTCCAAATGAAGAGGTAAAAGTCTCTACTATAGACATAGTCTTTACACAACAGTGAAAATATACATGAAAATACATTATGTATTATATGGTTTATAAATATTCTGTATAAGCAGACTTTGAATTTTGGCATTACTAGTGTCATTAAGTAAGGGTGCTGAGATCAAATAAAATTGAATATTGCTAAAAATTAATTATGTTTTATTTGCAAAAGCTTCTTTTGTGAGCATTTTAAAATCGCTAAAATTACATGTCGCTGAAATTAAAATACCATTTTTTAAGGACAAATCGCTAAATTTGCGTTCTGCTAAAATTTCCACTAACATGGTATATATTCATTCAGAATGGTCACAAAATGTAGAGAAATAAATCGGAAGCTGTCTTTTATAGGCAAGGTTAGACATCCTGAAAATTCACTCCCGTAAAATGAATCTGACTCGAGGAATCAACCTAAGAAAAATTGCTGAAATGATGCCAGGGGCTTCAGGTGCAGAGGTCAAGGTAAGTGGACGTAATACACGAACCTTATTTAAATATGGCAACGCATGTTCGTATCCTGTCGAATATGCATAGAAGGAAGAACCAGTGACAAACAGTTTTGATTTGTTATAAATGTTTGTTATATCTCATGAGTTCATAATATGTTTGAAATCTACAGGAAAGAAAAATCACATTGAATATAAGCTGTTTCTGCAATTCACTTGGACCGTGTTAACAGCAATCTTGTTTCATGCGAATGTATGCAGTAAGGTGGAATGGAGAGTCTGAAATAAGAATTTCTCGTAACTATTTTTAGGGAGTTTGCACAGAAGCTGGAATGTATGCCTTAAGAGAGAGACGAGTTCACGTCACACAGGAGGACTTCGAGTTGGCCGTTGCTAAGGTACGGCCAGAAATAGATCTTTTAACTGGGTATCCAGGAAATTAGATATAAGTGACCTCAAGGGCTCAAAAGTTTTATGTAACTTTTATTTCTTTGAGATCTGACTTGGTGATTGAGTTTACTTCAATCAAGTTTGTAGAAAATAAATCATGAGCCAAGAAAAATATGCATGTTTAGTTATATGTATGAGTAAAACCACAAGTAAATATGATTTTACATTATGTGAACATGAATGTTGCAGACTAATTTGAATATTTAATGTAAATAAAAATGTTAATTTATTTTTGGCAAACATGCAAAGGGGAAATCTTTATTTTTGCAGGTGATGCAGAAGGATTCCGAGAAGAATATGTCAATCAAGAAGCAATGGAAGTAGATCTCCAGTCGTTAAGCAGTGTGTACTGCACAGCACATGTGAGCCATTTCTATCTCAAAGACAGTGTTGTTCTCCATTTCAGCCATTTCAACATATGTATCGGTATTTGTCAGGAAATATTATTAAATTCTTTACACAACTGACCATTTCTTTTTTTTTTTTTTTTTTTTTTTTTTTTTTTTACATTTACTATAGAGGAGTAACTGTGGAATCATTTAAATCTGTGTTCCAAACAACCTGAAAGTTTTCTCTTTCCTGAGGGGGAAGATGTTTCTGGTTTGTTAAAAAAGATTCCAGTAACCAATACAAAAACAAAGTTGTCTAGGATTAAATTAATTATTAATTTACATTTAAGGGTTATCAAAGATCACCGGTTCTAAATACCTGAAGGATTATTTCACCATAAATGCTTAATGTTCAATTTTCAAAGATTTCCAGATATTGTCTGGAAACTTGGTGACAACCAAAAAATTATCACAAACTTGGTCATTGTTTTGGGATGTGGTTTTCTGACTCATAATTAAGACTAGTCATAGGTCAAGTATATCTTTTATCCTCTGATATACATGTACTTATTATATTTCGAAAATCAGGAATATGCATGTAAATGAACTTGATTTTCCCTTGCCTCTATTAAAAACAAGAAATAAACTATGATTTATAAATTTAATATTAAGCAACATGTCAAAATCAGTTTTAAAAATAGGAAGATAAATAAATAATAAAATAATTTCCCTCAGGCTCAGCACACTATAAAGCTTAGATTTGATACTGGCACTCAACAGTCCTGTTTGGAGATGAACAGGAAATATTCAGATTCATTTGGAAGCATAACTGAACAATTTACTAATGATGGGGGAGTCTAGAGTAAAATTCACCATCCCTCTTTTCATAATTTTTTTTTGTTAAGACACAATTTTCTAAAAGAAATCTCATTCATTATTAGAATTACACACAAAGTCTATAAGCTGGTTAAAAATGGACTAAAATAGCCTATTGACAGCTTGTCTTATCCAAGTGCAAGTTATTCCTCTTGAAAGGGGGTCAAATTAAAGTGTTTCTCGTTTTAAATCCACTAGGGCCTAAATATATCATTTTTGAGATACCCGTAAATTCGTATCATATCTGTACTTATGACTTTCCTGTTTAAAGAAAACATATAAGCCTATACAAACTAGCTTTAATATTATGAAGTCCCGTTTGGCTTTGATTGATTATTGATTATCAGTTATCTAATTCTCACTGCGATATGAAATCAAATGCGTACACTTTTGCTACAGATGTTAAATAAAATAATTCTTGTCATAATAAATTTGATACATTCATGATAAAGTGAAGAATATAAAAATAAGTCGTAAATGTACAATATTATATGTCTTAATACATGTATATAAATGTAAAATGTACACCAAACGGGTGGCAAGTCTTACAAGTAAAATAAATGCACACAAAAGAAATTAAACTCTTGCAATGATCTACATTGTTGATAAGGTTAGGTGATATTTTAAAATAAACCCCTTCATTATCTTTTTTTTTTTTAAACAGGAAGTCTAAAAAACGTTTGGAACATGTACCAAAATAAGCAAACAATTCATGGGGAAAATCGGAATATAATTTTTGGGATATTTTTGGGAATTTTATTGTATTGAGCAAGTAAAATCATAAATAATTCCTAAACCTTTGATTTCAACAACATTTTGAAGCACTGATTGTAAATTACACGTAAATGTTTTATCCTGCAGTATAACTGTAAACAGGATTACATGTATTTTCACACTTTCAAACAATTTGGCCCCGTTTTAAATTCGCCGAAACACAATTGTGTTCAAGAGACAGTGTGGTCTTTTCTGTACAATCTCTAGAGAACATTGTCGTTAAATCACAAATATTAACGGTCAGAGTTAGATTCCCTGTAGCGAGACGACTGTGAATACCCGTGACCTTGATCTTGTTGATCTGACCTTTGACCTCCTGATGACGAAGGATGACGTACCACCCTAACATTGTGATTGGACCGCCTTGACCTCGACGACGTTGTTCTACCAGTGCGTGGAGGAGACGGCGATTCTGCGCCTGCGTCATCATCAACGTTTGCTGCACGCAAGACATCAGCCATATCCGCGGCACTTTGGTTTAATCGGGAGGCGATTCTCATTAAGTACGCCGACGCAATCTCTTCTCTCGTGTCTTCATCCCTATCCTCATAAGTATCGTCTGTAGCATAAGGTGGTGTGATGGAACTGGCCTGTAGTCGCCTCAATCGACCAACGGAAGTAGGTTCTACGTCACGTTCCTCTCTCGTCTCCTCCTCTGGATAGTCCGGGATATAAGCGTGAGGCTGTCGAACCTCCATACTGTCCAGGAGAACGAGCTGGTGAGCTGGTACCGGGTTGCGGAGACTCTGATCGAGTTGTGTAGATACCTCTCCCAGACCACTCATCTCAGACAAAAACTGACACTCAGAAGGAACCTCAAATTTGCATGAAACAAAGATTTCGTCATCGTTTGTCTCAGCTGTTCTTTTGAATTCCGATTCTTTCTCTTGAATCTCTTGCTGGATTTCGAAGAGTTTCTTCAAGTCGTTCACGGACCTTGCTTTTAGGAACTGATCGTGCAGTTTCTGTAATGTCGAACCCTGCGTTGCAATTTCAACAAATCGGGAATTTATTGCAGTTTTCTGTTCTTTTATTGTGTCCTTTAGGATTTTGATCAGGGCTTCTTGTCTCCTTTCAAGCAATAATCTGAATTCTATAAACGTGTCTTTAATGACTCCCCGAAGTTGTCTTTCTTGCAAGTCAAGTTGTTTAGATGCATTGGCCAATCCATCTGTCCGACCTTTCATTTTATCGAGGAGCTGTTTGCTACTATCTGCAATTTTATCGAAACTTTCCTTGCTCTCATTTACAGCTTCTGAAACATCTACAATATTATGGCCTTGACCCTCTTTATGATCCAAGACCGTGCAATCCCGACAAACAGGAAGTAGACATTTTTTGCAAAAGAAGTTCAGTGGCTGATTTTCATGTTTTGAACACACGTTCTGCGACTTTGCTGAAACTTGAGACAGGAAGTCCATCATTTGAATCACTCGATGATCCGAGGGGAGAGAATCTACTTCTGTACGACTCAGAAAGATCTCTACCCGGCATTCCGGGCACTTCAGCACGCCCTCACGCGTCTCATCTAACCACGTGATTTGTCGTCTGGGGCGGCTGTTCTGCTGGTTGTGGTCGAACACTTGCTTCAGACACGGCAGGCAGAAGGTGTGGTTACAGGGGAGAGACTTGGGATGTCGTTCCACTTGATTGTATTTTTCATTACAGATGTGACATCGGAGAAATTGTTCTTCAAACGCCGCCTCGTCTACAATCAAGCTTCTCTTCACGGAGTCCGCAACGTCGTCTCCAGCCGACGCCATCTTGTTTTGTTAAATTATCTAAAATAATAAATAGAGGACTATATTTCTTAGTGAACTGAAAAAAATAACTTAAAATTTCCAACCAATCTAGCAAGTAATATTGTTTACATATTAGCAACCTATCTCTGATTTGACCCCTGCTTTCTAAGGTATCACATTTGAACATCAAGAGGAGTGTAGTGAATCGTCCCGAAGAGCGAAGATCAATATAAATTAGAAATTGCAAATGGTAGTGATCAGAAGAGGTGGGGGCATTAAAACTCGAGAGCAGCATACCAGGCTGACTTACGTCACCTCGAAAAATTAGTGTAACTTTTTATAAATGCAAATGACCATGCATTTATTTACTGTACGTTATCGTTACTCGTACATTACTCGTATGGTATCGATAATGTATAATAACTCTATTATCTCAATATGTATAGTTTTCGACTGATACATAAAAGGGTTTTTTTGTGAATTTATGCATTTGTTTTTTTTCTTCAACATTTTGAATTACTAATCTGCTGATTTTCTAAAATTTGTGAATGGACAAGAATACTAGTATTTCATTTAATTAAATGTTACGTTTTGGTGAGCTTCCAGGTTTCCATGATTTGAGACAAAAAATAAAGACATTAATGAGGTTAATGGCAATGACCCAAATGAAGTTGAATTTTTTTTTTAAAAAGTATACATAATTACAGTTTTGAACATTTTACGAGTATAGATTTAAATTAAAATTCCGATGTCGTTAATTCTGAGACATACAGCCAAACTTAATTAACACTCAATAATTTGTATGACTACGTCAAAATGCCTCTAAAAATTAAGCACACTTTTCGAATACACAGTCTGGAAAAATTTAATACCAAAATACACATTCAATGACTTATCGATTTTATTTTTGGCAACTGACCCGAACCAACAATGGCAGTGACGTTTTTAAAAGATTGATTGCTGAAAACGTATTAATCTAATGACTTTCAATAAACAAAGTTACTGATTTGGTATTCAATGATCGTTATGTGCTGTTTTTGATACTTCGAGAGGAAATTTAGCAACCCCTCCCCCCTTACACACAATCTCATACACAAACAATAAGTTTACTCTCAATTTTTTTTCAATTTCAGTAATTAGAAGCAAAAGAAGGGCACACACATATTACAGAAAATATTTTTCTTTCTCCAGATTAGTTTACTGTCCATATACATGTATATGACTGAGTGGTAAAAAAAAAAAATCAACTACAGAAAGGTTTGTAAACGTACCTTGATTTCCAATAATTTTAGAACAAAAGTGGCCAGAATACATATTATTATTATTAGATATATTTTTTCATTTTGTTTACTTTTATTAATTCCAAAGCGTGAATTGTTTATATGTGTCAAATTAGTAATAAGTAAATTAATTAAAGTCTTAATTCTTACCAGGGTTAATTCCAGATTTAATTTTCCTTTACTTCATTCCTTGGCTCGTACAAAATATTAAGCAATATTTACATCGTGGATTGTTTATAAGTGGGGGCAGTGTTTACATCATGAATCATCGTGTTTCCCTGCTGCTAAGGGACTCATGTGGGACTGAGACAGGTTTATAATAAAGTTAGATTTAATTTTATAGCTAGCAATATTTATACCTTTATAATACATATTTTTTTATAATACAATATATATAATATACACACGCAAATGTAAATATTTAAGAGTCAATTCGTCTTACCTGAAGAAATCAGTGACAGGAATGGACTTGTCTTAGGCTATTGATTAAAAGGGATTGTTGACAAAATCACAAGCCATTTAAATAGGAACGATAACTCCACAGCATAACCAATTCACTGCGTGAAAATTTGGCTTTACAAAACAAGTAAAGATAATGTAAATTTATTATTTACAATGCCTTTAATTGGCTTTTCTGAAAAAAGTCAAAGTTGGAAAAGGTAACCTTTACATTAACTTTACATGCACTTAAATATGATGTAATGTCCCACTTTATCTTGACTTTACAAAAAAGTAAAGTTAATATTTACAACCATTAAACACAGTATTTAGGATATATTAAATCTGATAATTACAGACCTTAAATTTAATTAAATACCATCTTTAATAACCACAATCTGATAATTACAAACCGTAAATTTTATTAAATATCATCTTTAATAACCCCAAAAGTTAATAATTTCCGTTTTCCATTCCAGTGAATGAAGCCTTATTCAAATTATAAATAAGTTTTTATACCCCCCGCAAACGAAGTTTGGGGGGGTATATAGGAATCAACTTGTCCGTCTGTCTGTCTGTCCGTCTGTCTGTCCGTCCGTGTTTACGAGAGTGCATTTATTGGGTATTTTTCATGCCAAGATTGTACTTATTGGGTACTTTTTGCTTATTGGGTATACCCAATAAGAAGTGTCGCTGAATATGCTTAAAACACCCTAATTGGGTATTTGCAGGTTAGTACCCAACAAAACTTGGACACGACGATTTGTCCAAAAAAGTGTCCAAAAAAGTTGCTTTCACGGACACACCGTGTTTTGTTGTTTCAGTTTTACATTCGGAACTCTAAATTCTCGAGAGTTCCGAAAATCAACTTCCGTTAATCCTGATCATGACAACGTTTGTTTTCATGGAAAAAAATATGGCGACTAAGAAACACTTACTGTCAACAAGATTTTCTGATTGACAAGAGAAAAGGTAAGTTTATTCGATTAATATTTATCTATTGCTGGGTTCTTGTTTAAGGAAAATAGATTTTAATGTAATTTTGAAAACAATTGTGCACAAAATTAAAATAGATATATCGGAACAATTAATCCCAACTGACCTAAGTTGCACTTGTTTGTATTTTGAATTTTCTCTGTCTTTTTAACTCTCTTGAGGGCGAGAAGTGTTAAGTAAATGATCGTATATTGTTAGATAATCTTTAATAAATCGAAAGTGTTTATTATTTAATTTTATATCATAACCAACTAAGTATGTTCTGACAATGTATATTGGAAAGGGAAATGAAAATTTTAACAATCGTGTGTTCATAAATCAGCTGTAAATTATCGGTTCATGTGGACAGTGTAACAATCGCAAAGTGAGCTGAGATGATGATAAATGGGATAATTGACAACAACTAAATAATTGTATGTAAGTTTATCTCATCTGATATGTAACTTAAGAGATTCATTGTATTACTGAAAAACTTGCAGTCAAAACAGTGCTTCTTTCTGTCTTTGATTTTGACTGAGTGTCTGCTTTATTTTGATTTTTTTTAAATTATTGTTTTTGTCATTTGTTTTAATTAATTTAAAACAATACTGAAATTGATATAGGACTACTATAACTATTTCACATGATGGGTGTGTAATTAGCATCGCGCTACACCCGGGCTTCCATTTTTGAGGAAGGGGCTAGTGGTTTTCTGCACTGAGGAATCCCCTTGGGCTATTAAGAATTTTAAAATACACATGTAATGCATGAAAAGCACCACCGGTATTTTCACTCTTTTTTGCTATTAAATTCCCTAATATGGAAATATTCCAGACAGCATGCTCATATTATCCATAAATCTCCACAACTGCATCCATTTTGCAGTACTACAAGACTGATTTACTTAAAAACGATCTTTTATTTCCTAATTTGAATTCCCCCCTTTCCTTCGTTTAATATAGCAATATTTGCTTGTACATATATGCCTCACAGATATCTTTATTATGTTCCCCAAACGAAGTTGGGGAACATATTGTTTTTACTCTGTTTCTTATTATTATTATTCTTATTATTTTTCTTCCTGGGAAAATTTTGTCCGCGAGTGATCTTGTAAACTACACATTCGACTTAGGTGAAACCTTTTTAGGGTAAGTAGGCATGTTATGTAGATTTGCGGAATCAAGGTCATTTTGCGCGCACGTGCTTGCAAGAGCGTGCACGTGCAAAACTTGAAATGACCAATATATAATGGATATAACCGTAACTTTTCTATTTTTAGACGAAATGTTTTGAAACTCATAATGTAAGGATATATGAGTAGTATGCACAAGATGACATGGTCAAAATAGCAAGATCGCACGTGCAAGCATGTGCGCTTCGCTCTGATTGGCTGAAACTAAAGTCTCAATATCTTTCTTGTTTTTTGACGAAATCCTTTGAAATTTAAAACATAGGCATGTATTAGGATATCCTACAATAAGATATATTAATAGCAATTATCATGAAAACGCGTGCCTGCACGTGCGCTGCAATCTGAGTGGCTTATGCTATAAATAGCTATAACTCCCTTGGTTTTCAACCAAACAGGATGGGATTTGGAACATGAATAGATATAATAGACTTCTACAAGAAGATATGGTCACCATGTACATGCATACACGTGCTTGTACGTGCGCTGCAATCTGATTGGCTGAAACTTTGAACAGCTATAACTCCCTTGGTTTTCAACCAAACGGGGTGGGATTTAGAACATAGATAGATGTAATGGACTTCTACAAGAAAGTATGGTCGCCATGCTCATGTGAGCACGTGCGTGCACGTGAAATGAGTAAATCAAAAATACACTTGAATTAGCGTATTTTTTAATTCTTTTGGATTAAATACTTTGATATTTAGTATATTAAAACCTATAGATTCTGAAGACAAGATTATATGGTCATTGCGCACGTGCATTCACATGCACACGCGTGCAATGCTAAAATTTGAATGAAATTGGTACGCTTCTGGGTAAACGTTGTTAAAGTCTCAAATGCATAGAGTTTGTCTTATTTAATGAAGCTTATAGGGAATATGGCACCGAAAGGGAGTTGGGGAGCGTTTGGGGAACATCCGTAACGGTCCCCGTTACAATTAGCACTAGTTATATATTGCCATTGTGCCTTATTGTACTTTTTAATCCGATACATATTTTTGGTTTCCCCCAGCAAAACATGGACACTGCCATTATATTTATACGGAAGGCGGGGGGATATCTTTTATTGAACTCATTGCTTACGGTACCTCTAATTTCTTTTTCATTTATTAAAAAGAGACCCATTACAATTGTCTATTTTGAAAAATATTTTCCAACAGCATATTTTCTGAAAAACAAAAATTACAAAAAAAAAAAAAAAAAAAAAAAAAAAAATTGGTTTCAAAAGCATAGTTATCATCTTTCATGTAATTTTCTACATTTAAGAAAAAAATTCAAAAAAATAACCCATCTTAAAACCAAATAGTTTTTGTCATGTTTGAAGAGTCCATTTCTTATTAACTTCTCGTTCACATGCGTGGATCCAGAGGGGGTCGGAGAGAGGGTTCAGAATCTCCCGAATTTGCAGATTAATTAACATTTAATGTACAGATTACTTAGTTAAGGACAAAAGAAATTATTTTCCTAGGTATCTGGGACAAGTGATGTTCCCGGCGAATCATAGACCCCAACCCAGGGAGGGGGTTGTGGTCTCATAGACAATAAGAGATTTTTGAAAGTGGTAATAAATTATTGCTTTTATAATATCGATGTAAGATAGTGATAATTACACAGTTAAGTTCAAGAATGAATTATTCCTAATTTTTTTTCCTCAGACAAACATTGATGCAGAAGACATCTTTAATGTTCATAATTTTGTTTAAAAGAGCAAATCATACATAGTATAAGATCATGTGAGCGCATATAAAGCACATATAAGATGAAAATATACATGTTTTTGATTTCCTGCATTACTTACATTTTAATGAAAACAAAATAAAGAGTAGCTGTAACTAAATTTTAAAGACAGAGACCACAAAAGCAGAGAATTTTTGTAAGAATATCTTTGTAGTCATTTTTCCAAACCTCTCTCTCTCTTTCTCACTCTCTCTCTCTGCGTATTTTTAAAACGGTACATCACATTTAATCTGCAGATAGTAAAGAATTTTTTTCTATAACTGAACAATTATGAATCAATTGAATTGACAAAAAATTAATAAATATAGACAGGATTATCTTACATGTACCATATTAGTAAACGTGTAAAATTTATTTCTTGACTCAAAATGTGTTCATATATATTTACATCCGCTGAATATATTCTCCTTTATTTCTTAAGAAAACCCATTGCGTTTATCACTGCATGAACTACATTCGGAATGTCGCTTGTACAGATTTCTTGATCAGTGACTGTTCTATCAATGAAACATATAAAGACGTTCGCATCATTAATACAATAATTAATCTTTTTAATCCTACTTTAAATAATTATTTAAACAGATATAAATATAAACAATAAAATGTCTTTCTTTGATTGTTATTACTGGAATGAACGGTCGCAGCTATTACAGAAAAAATTTACATAACCCGCTTACGCGGGTTATGTATTTTTTCTGCAACAGCTGCTTCCGTTCATTCCAGTAATATCAAACAAAGAAAGCATTTTATTGTTTAAGTAAACCGTTTGCATTTTGTTTTCATTATTTTTGCTTGCATATACATTTCTTATTAAAATTTTTAAAAATCTTATTATGTCTCAAACTTAATTATTAGTATTTGTCAGTAGAATCAGTATTTATCGAATCATGAAATTTATTATCAAAGGCGAAGTTATTAACCTGTATCAATTTTGGGAAGAGGGGGTATGGCTGTAATTAAATCTCCAAAATGAATAGTTTTGCTTAATTCCGACATACAAGTACATGAAGTCTTCTTTTCATCCTTTCAATTTATTAGACTTTTATTATTGAAATATTGTAAAAAACTAAAATTGGTTTCTTAAAAGATGCATGTCTCTTACATAACACTATAAACCCATGCATGTTTCAATTAGTGCAAGTATTAATTTATCTATAACTTGTGTTATTCTGTACTTTGACGTGCTACAATTTATACATGTTTGTACGCTTTGGGCAATGTTTATGTTTTTGCGCCTGTGCAATGCAACGTTGTCAAGGACTTAGTCCTGTGACTAAGCGTATCTTTTACGACTAGACTTACGCCACTTGGTGAAACGCAAATTACACCCGACTAAATTTTGGCGTAATCCCCGGAAGTACGCCTAAGTTATGGCTTAACTTTACGACTTTTGATGAAACGGGCCCCTGACTTTTTTCACGATGAACTTTTTTTCAATGTTACTTTTTAATTTTTGCCTCTATATTTGGGCTTGTCACTTTTTACTCGGGGATAGTAACTTTATTGCCACAAAGCTGTGGATGAGTACTTGATTTCCTTTATTGCACAGCGATGACTATGATTTAATAGCACAAAAAGCTAATGGGTTTACGTATGTGAATTTATATGATTAATGCTTACTTGTGATAGGATAACTGGAGATAATGATTCCTTTTTCCATTGATATTACATAAATATTTTCCTAACTATTATGTTACAGTAAATTGGTTTAGATTTTTTAAATAAAAGTAATCAATAATTACAATGGAAATTAAAACCATAATCATGTTCATTGAGGATTTTCAATATGTAACAGGTCAAACAGGAACTTCAATTGTGAACATTGCAGAGAACACACCCATCAGAAGATGACCCTCAGAAATAGGACAATTGTAAGTAATCAGTTAAATGAACAGGAATACTTCATGCCAACCATAAGATTTTTAGAGACATTTTCGCTTCTTAAATTTAGAAGAGATAGAGGGAAAAACTTGTACATACTACATAACTACTAGGCAACCAACCTTTAACTGCAGGAAAGCTTTTGGTATGTGCAATACAGCTACATAAAACCTCTTTAGTATTCATGTTAAGTTTGAGAAAGTACCTTAGTATTTTTTTCTAGTGTTTGCCAACATTTTCATGCACACTGTTTGCTTGTTTGTACTATCATTTTATTTTAAATTCTTCAGATGCCCTTTACCTTTGCCAGTTTAGAATCATTTGTTTTAAGGGCATCTGAGGGTTGGTTCCAGAACTTAATTAATTGTAAAGTAAATACTGGGGTACTATATGGTCATAGGTTATGTTAATACATGTATAACATTTTGTTCTGATAGAGGTGGCATACAGGAAAAGAAACAATACTAGATATCACTTCAAAGGAATAAAACAGCTTCATCTTGTAGGTGTATTTTATTTAATGATCACAACTTCATGTCTGATGTGCTGAAAGTTATTCATAATCTGTTTGACTGTAATTTTTCATATTTTCAACTTCTATCCAGCTTAGTCAATTTTAATTAAATTTTGTGCAAAGCATACCCCAGGAAGGGGGGATGGAGTGTCAAGTGTGTCTCTGTCCCTGTCAACATAATTTCAAAGCAGTTAGTAAGGTTTGGGTCAATTTTCCTCTTTAGCAGAACCATTGGGCTAAAAACAATACTAATGTGAAAGCTTTATCGTTAAGTGTAGAGATGTTTTTGAAGATTATGTACCTCTAATGTACTGATAGTGTAACATTAGAAGTCTAAAATTTGCAAAGAATAGGTGTATAATCTTTTTAAAATCTACTTCTTAACACTCAGAAACTAACGTACTGTCTTATTAATATGCAACATTGTTTTGTGTGTTGAATGATGATTCCATTTTGATAAACATATGGCGGATGGGGGGTATATGAAGATGCAGTTAGACATAGAAGAAAAAAAAGAGTTGATAGAATTTAGTTTTTCTTCCATTTTATTTATCAATACATATTTCTGAATAAGAAATATACTTCTACTTCTTGGTTGGGTTTGATCAACATAAAGGGTGATCTTGCTGTAGTCAAGAAAAAAATGTTTTATACGGCAAAGAAATGCCTTTATCTAATTGCAGAATGAATAAAATGGACAGAGCACTGAAAGAAAAACCTAGTGAATTTAACTAGTGTGTTTCGTAAAGCGTTGGTCGTGATTAGTAAACTTTCAGTTTACTGCTTAAGATAGTGAGTTGTGGAGCGGGGGTCGTATAGATACTTAGATACCTAGTGAAAATTACTCATCAATTCTAAATTTATACTAATCTTATCTAGTAAATATACCAATATCTGGTAAAACTACTAAGGTAGTGATTGTATGGACAGTGAATCTACTAGTTTTCTTCGTGACATTAACTAGTTATTTTTTTACAGTGAGGAAGAACTGAAGGAGATGCATGAAATGAGGAATATTTCAAAGATTGCCTGAGCATAACCACTGCTACTGGATAAACATATGGCAATATAAAAGAGCAGGGTCAATGGAGGTATCATACAGTATAGGCCATGAGAGACCCTGAAGAAGAAAGTATTGAACAGAAACAAAAATAAAACCATTTTGACATTTATTGAAATATAGGATCAAAGTCTCACATGTAAAATTTGGGCATGTAATGACTTTTCTCTAGCTCTAAGACTTATAACAGTGATGATTTGATTTAATATCTTTATCCCGATTTGTCGAAAAGATTTGGACATAGTGCATCAATTATTTTAAAGTTTTGATACAACGAATTCATTCATTGTACTTGTAACTGAGTTTTCTGGTGCGACACTGTTTTATCGGCTTCAAAACTAAGTTTGTGATTTCCAAACCAGATTAATGAGATCATGTAATATCTTTTAACATCGGTGACTATTTAATCCATTCTTTTACATCCCAGAAGTATTTTTATTATTACAGGGAAAATATGTATTGTACATGTATCTGTAATAAACAGGATTATAGAAATTTTCCATATAATACAACACAATCTTAGCAGCTGAAGTCAAATATTTTATCAAGGGTGTGATCTATATATCAATATGGTTTTCAGCATCTTGCTCTACCTGTAAAGACTTGCTCCAAGTTCCAATATTTAAATTTAAATTTTGCAAACATGGTTATAAAATTCTTTAAAAGCCAAATAGTTTAGGCACAAAATGCTTATATATTTCCTATCATTTGTAAAGTGTACACTGAATAAGATGTGGAATGTTAGAATTAAAGTATTAAATATGTTTTGGACTTATGTATGCTTATGCAGATAAATTTGAATTCAACTAGGGAAGGTAAATGTCATACTTATTGGGTTTGCAATCTAATGCAAGAGTATAAATATCCAAGACAAATTTGACAATTTTAATGAAGGGTATAAGTAACCCAAGAAGAATTGGACAGATAAACATCACCTGTTGGGTTTTATTCTAATGTTGGGATGTAATATCCAAGAAGAGTTGAACCAATGTCCAATACCTATTGGGTTTTTCTTTCTTATAAAAAAAATTTGAGTAACCCAAGAAGAATGTCCAATACCTTTTAGTTTATATACTATTGAAGGGATGAAGATATCCAAGAGGAATTGGACAGGTGTCCATTACATGTTGGGTAGTATTCTGATGAGGGGATTCTCAAGAAACCCAAGAATTAGACAAGTGTCCATTGCCTGTTGGGTGGGATGTAGATATCCAAGAGGAGTTGGACGGATGTCCATTACCTGTTGGATGGTATTCTGGTGAAACAATTAAAGAAACCCAAGAAGAATTGGACAAGTGTCCATTACCTGTTGGGTGAGATGTAGATATCCAAGAGGAGTTGGACAGGTGTCCATTACCTGTTGGGTTGTATTTTGATGATGCAATTCAAGAAACCCAAGAATTAGACAAGTGTCCATTGCCTGTTGGGTGGGATGTAGATATCCAAGAGGAGTTGGACAGATGTCCATTACCTGTTGGGTGGTATTCTGATGCAACAATTCAAGAAACCCAAGAAGAATTGGACAAGTGTCCATTGCCTGTTGGGTTGGATGTAGATATCCAAGAGGAGTTGGACAGATGTCCATTACCTGTTGGGTGGTATTCTGATGAAACAATTCAAGAAACCCAAGAAGAATTGGACAAGTGTCCATTGCCTGTTGGGTGGGATGTAGATATCCAAGAGGAGTTGGACAGGTGTCCATTACCTGTTGGGTTGTATTTTATGAGGAGATTCAAGAAACCCAAGAATTAGACAAGTGTCCATTGCCTGTTGGGTGGGATGTAGATATCCAAGAGGAGTTGGACAAATGTCCATTACCTGTTGGGTGGTATTCTGATGAAACAATTCAAGAAACCCAAGAAGAATTGGACAAGTGTCCATTGCCTGTTGGGTGGGATGTAGATATCCAAGAGGAGTTGGACAGGTGTCCATTACCTGTTGGGTTGTATTTTGATGAGGAGATTCAAGAAACCCTAATAGAATTGGACAATGTACACATGTTCAATTGTTCTTGGGTAATTTAATCCCTTCGTCAAAATACAACCCAACAGGTATAGGACACCTGTCCAGAGCCTGTTGGATACCTTCATTCTGCCCAACATGTAATGGGCATTTGCTAATTATTAATTGGTCATGACTCAAAAAGGTTTCTCCTTAAATACTTAATTTTGTTATTCAAGAAAGGTTGAACAGAGTCTGAGATGTGTTGAGTTGTGTTTTCACAATTCAGTTTTTTTGCACTTAGGTATTCATATATTTTAATATTAGTTATTTTGAAAAATACAGGTGTATATCCTTATTGCTAAGAACAAATTAGTTAGGTGTTACAATAAAAGAGCTACATCACAGAAATTGACAAAAATATGGGTTCAAAACTAAAGGTTTTCAGTCTTGTCTGAATTAACCATCAAATATTAAATATATAATAAATTTGAAATGAATGAAAAACAATAAGAAAAAACCCAATAAAATACGGACACGAGGATTAATATCCAATAAGATTTGAACAGTAACTACCCAAATAATGCTCTCTCGTGTGTACACTTTTTTTGTATCCAATAAGCAGTATCCAATAGGACTTGGACTTGATGTACCCAATATATAACCAAATGTGTGTCTGTCCGTCTGTCCGTCTAGCTGTCTGTCCGTCTGTCTGTGCAATCGTGTCCGGTCTATATCTTTCTTACAGAGGGACATTAGAATCTACTACTCCACACTAAGATTGCTCATAACCTAAAGGTGTGTCATGACCTTGACCCAAGGTCATTTGGGGAAGTTCAAGGTCACTGGAAGAAAAATTTCATAATTCGTGTCCGGTCCATATCTTTCTTATGGATAAACTTGGTAGGTTCTCATTTCACACAAAGATTGCCCATGACCCAAGGGTGTGTCATGACCTTGACCCAAGGTCATTTGGGGAAGTTCAAGGTCACTGGGAGAAAAATTTCAAAATTCATGTTTGACACATATCTTTTATGGATAAACTTGGTAGGTTCTCATTTCACACAAAAATTGCCCATGACCCAAGGGTGTGTCATGACCTTGACCCAAGGTCATTTGGGGAAGTTCAAGGTCACTGGAAGAAAAATTTCATAATTCGTGTCCGGTCTATATCTTTCTTATGGATAAACTTGGTAGGTTTTCATTTCACATAAAGATTGCCCATGACCCAAGGGTGTGTCATGACCTTGACCCAAGGTCATTTGGAGAAGTTCAAGGTCACTGGTAGAAAAATTTAATAATTCGTGTCCGGTCCATATCTTTCTTAAGGATAAACTTGGTAGGTTTTCATTTCACACAAAGATTGCCCATGACCCAAGGGTGTGTCATGACCTTGACCCAAGGTCATTTGGGGAAGTTCAAGGTAACTGGAAGAAAAATTTCATAATTCGTGTCCGGTCCATATCTTTCTTATTGATAAACTTTGTAGGTTCTTATTTCACTCAAAGATTGCCTATGACCCAAGGGTGTGTCATGACCTTGACCCAAGGTCATTTGGGGAAGTTCAAGGTCACTGGAAGAAAAATTTTATAATTCGTGTTTGATACATATCTTTATTAGGCAAAAACTTACTTCTGAAAAACCCAGCGGGGGGTATTTTGTCCCGATTGGACAGTTCTAGTTTCTTCCAAATTGATAAGTTGCGGAAATGTAAACATCATAATTAATATACAAATTAACAAAAAGCTGACTTTAACTTTGTTTATTACAATACAAAACATTTTTTTTTTTTACAAACATAAGATCAAAATCATCAAGATTCTTGGCAGTATATGTTGCCCACATCCTATCCTGCAAATTACATACATGTACATATCAAAGACAGAGTACATTTCACAAATATGTTTTTTTGTATGTGACATATTTTATAATAAAACCAACTGTACATTCTTGAATTTAAAGTTGTGAATCAACATAAAACTATGTCCTCTTTCTTGTGGATATTAGTTTTAGTGGAAATCAACAACTGTCAAAATGTTTTTGTCACACCTCCCTTTTCAGAGTTCAAAACTTTTCTCCCCATGCAGGCATTTTCCTAATGCTTTTCCTAAAATAAAAAAAGTACTTTTTCCAGTGCCATGCATAAGTATGAATATTTTCAAAGGTGTCTGTGTTATCAGAATTCACAATACCATGATTAATAAAAATAAAAACAAGGCACAACCTAATTAATAAATAACAAGAGACTCAGGGGCCACATCGCTCACCTGAGCAATTGGTGAGGAAAAAGCACAGATCAGATCAGAACTGAAAGTTTACTGAGGGCAAAGGGGGGGGGGGGGGAGAGGGCTAGAATTTTAACCCCAAGGGGGTCATGATTTGAACAAACTTGAATCTACACTACCTGAGGTAATTCCCTATAAATATCGCTAAGCATGGCTTTGAAGTACTTGAAAAGAAGATTTCAAAAGTTTCCCTATATATTCCTATGTAAAACTTTTATCGGCCATTTTGACCCCGTCCTACCCCTGGGTGTCATGATTTGAACAAACTTTAATCTACACTACCAGGGGATGATTCCACATGAGTTTCATCTTTCCTGGCCAAGTGGTTCTTGAGAAGAAGATTTTTGAAGATTTTTTTCTATATATTCCTATGTTAAACTTTGATCGGCCATTTTGGCCCCACCCAACCCC